AGGCATCAGTCTCTACAACCTTATTCCAAAGGGGATTAGGAAGCATAAGACAAGGGAGGTTTTTAACTTTTTTCTTAATTTCTTGAACAGCAATAGTATGACTATCAGTCCAAGRACAAGATTTCTTTTTAAGTCTATCATATAAAAGAGAAGTGTATTGACTTAAATCTTGAATGTAAGCCGAAATGTAATTAAGGCTTCCTAAGAATCTTTGTAATTGGGTTTTATCAAGAATTTGGTCAGGAAACTTATCACCAAAAGCAATACTGCGTTGGATWGGAATAATTGTTCCTTTTTCGATATCATGACCAAGAAATCTAATCTTAGTTTGGAAAAGAGACATTTTAGGTTTGGATATAACTAAACCATTTTGAATAACAAGAGTCTTAAAGATATTAAGATGCTTGAAATGACTCTCGATGTCTTTGGAAAAAACCAAAATATCATCTATATACACAATAATAAAATTACTGTAAGGATAGAAAATATCATTCATAATCTGTTGAAATTCTGAAGGTGCGTTTTTTAAACCAAAGGGCATGACCTTCCATTCATAATGTCCCATAGGAACATTGAAGGCTGTTTTATAAATATCATTTTCAGCAATCTGGATTTGCCAATAACCAGATTTTAAATCAAATTTTGAAAAAATGAGCGCTTGGAAAAGTCGATCAAGAAGATCCTTCTTGTTGGGAATGGGATGTCTAATCCATTTAAGAACCTTATTGAGAGGTTTATAATTAATTACAAGCCTAGGAATACCTCTTTCCTGTTCCGAATGTTTGTTAACATAAAATGCAGTACAGGACCAAGGGGATTGTGAAGGTCGAATAAGACCTTTCTCCAGAAGACTGCCGATTTCGGCTTTACAAAGAACAAGGTAGTCAGAGTTCATTTGGCAAGGTCTAGCCTTGGTGGGAATATTGATCTCAGAGAAATTATCTTCATAAGGAAGAGAAACTATGTGTTTCTTTCTATCCCAAAAAGCATTGGGATGATCATTGCAAATGCTAAGAGAAAAATCATTATGAATAAAATCAATCTTAGACTTTAAACGAGGGTTAGTAAGCTTTTCATCAATGGTTAAAGAAGAGATTTCCTCTTTAAGAGAGTATAAATGAAAAGTTTTTCGATCAATACGATCTTGRAGAATGTCAAGGAAACGTTTAACCGGTTCTTCCATGAACTTGAAAGTAATGGCTTTTTTGTGAAAGGTACCAGTAAGACCTTGCTCATCAATCTGAGTGATTGGATAGAGTTGGTATAAAAAGGGAAGACCAAGAATAACTTCATGAGAAATAACCTTAGTCAAGAGAAAACTAGTTGTAATACAACAACCTTGATTGCAAATTTTTGCATTTGAGAGTTTGAACTTGATATCAAGAGGACCACCTCCCGCATGAGAAAGAGAACAAGAAGTTTTTTCAAAAAACTTACTGGGAATGAGACCTTCTTGAATAACATTCAAGTCAGCTCCGCTGTCAATCATTGCTAAAAATTCTTTTTTAAAATGCCCATCTATAAGAAGGGTAATTTTTGTAAACCATTTTTGAGTTATCATGCGACTGATAGTAGAAAGAGTAGCATTATCAGGCGGCTTAGTAGAAGAAGAAGGAGAAATATCCTCTGGTTCTTTCGATTCTTTAGTCGGAACATGAAAAGTAGCATTTCTGACTAAAAGGTCTTGACTTGCAGAAACAATTGCAAGATGTTTATGAAGAAGAATATTGTCTTCTTTTAAAGCAGAAATTTCTGACTTAAGAATTGTCATTTCTTTATGAAGGTCAGTGACCGAGATCGCCGTAGACGAAGATTGTTTGTGTTGAAGAAGGCGATGTAATTCTTTCATAGAATAATCAATATTATTGACAGGAGAAGTAGAAGAACTGGGTTTATTAAACTCAAGATTTTCCAAAATTTCAGAATAGATTAAAGGATCTTTGATTTTTTGTAAAAGTTTTAAAACTTTTTCATCAGTTAAGACATTAATATTCAGATCCTGAAATTGAGAAAGAAGTTTATAAAACTCATCATGGCTGTCCGTCGAAGTGTTATTTTGAATAACATTGAGACAGTTCTTAGCACAAGGCTGACCAATAGCACAAGTATCACAAGGAGAAGATTTCAAATCTTCAGAATCCGAAGATAAATAGGAATCCTCGGCAGAGTCATCAGACTCATCAATGGAATTGGAATCAGAATCAGAAACAGAATCAGGTTCTTCATCAGAATTTTTGAAATTTAAAAAGATATTCAAAAGAGAATCCTTTGTATTTTGATCAATATTTAAATTATTGATCTTCTTTTTGGTCCAACAATTGGTTGAAGAATGACCAACTTTTCCACAATTAGAACAAACAATTTTGTTTTTCTTGAAACCCTGAGAGTTTGAAGATTTAAAAGTTTTTCTTTGCCTAGCAAAAGTAGGTTTTTTAGAGTCATCAACTCTATTAGAGTTTTGCAAATCTTTATCAAAGGTTTTTCTTTTAAAACGACGTTTATGATAACGGTGATTTGAAGAATCTCGATCACGAGTTTTATGAAATTTTCTTTTTGGTTTCTTATAAGGAATCTCCATACCAAACTGGTCACAAAAATCACCAAGCTGTTTTCTTTCAAGCAGATTCTGCTTTCTGATTTGGTGTTTTAATTTTAAATCATTGCAAAGAGAAAGACCTTCTGCAATACAAGTACTGATCAGCTGACCATAGGTATAGTCATCATAGATAACAGAAACCTTATCCTTTTTAAGAATCTTACGAACTTTCTCAGCAAAAAGATGAGGAAGGCCATCAATAAATTTGGCTTTCCAATGACTGTTATTACAGTCTTTGAGTTCAAAGATACGAGAAAGAAATGTATCTTTATACCAACGAAACTCAGTAAGAGTTTTGCAACGAAGATTACTGATAAGAGTTCGAATATTCTCATGATTATCAGAAAACCTGCCAGTAAAATGCTCTATGAGAGTAAGGACTAAAGGATAGACAACATTTGTTGTCTCTTCTCCATTTTCATTCTTAACAGAGTTAAGAATTTCATCCTTTTGAGAAAGGGGAATGTAATTATCCCACCAACCTTTCAATTGACCAGTAAAACCRGCAATGATCATTTTAGCAATGGCTTTATCATTATTGCCTGTGTTTTTACACACTGTGCTGTACATGAACATCCGATGAGCCATATTATAAATATGTTTGTCAGCGAAACCATCAAGACTCCACTCATAAATGCATTTTCCATTATAACTATTATTAATAATGTACTCCTGTTCTTCATGAAGAACATCCATGGGAGTAGGGCGATTATAATAATACTTATTAAGACTAGGAGTTTTGGCCCATTTCATTTTATGAATTTGGCCATCAGTCTGCTCATGATGAGGAGACTCTGACTCAGGCTGAAAGCTTTGGCTTAGCATAGAGAGAGAGGGAGGTTTGGTAACATGTAAGTTGGAAAGCTTTAAATCAAGCTGTTTCATGAACTCCTCAGAAGGGGATTTAAGTTTAAAATCTTTTATTTCAGGAGGAGGCTGAATGGTGTTGGAAGTTAAAATAATCTTTTCAGAAGAAGAAGGAATATCAGCAGGAGTAACAATTTGTTTTTGCTGATTTGTCTCAATTTGAGAAATCTTGTTGAAAATGAGGGAAATATTATCCTCTATAGAAAAAAGTTGTTCTCCAAGAATTTTCAACATAAGATTGGAATAATTCTGTTTTTCAAGTAATTCGTTAATATGTAACGAAGTAGCAGAAAGAGTATTATCTTTGATAAGATTTGAAAAAGCAGAGAATCGGAAGGAAGAATTATTATTTTTCATGAGAAAAGGAGATTGAGGGGGATAAATGGTAGATTTAATATCTCCATTAAGAAGTTGATAATCCCTTTGAATAACATTTATAAAATGTTTTATGTGAGTATGGAAAAACCAAGGAATAAAAGAGTATGTCTCATTTTCTTTAGTACAGAATTCATAGAATTCAGCAGAGAAATTAGCAATTTCATCTTTTGAAAAATTTTCAATATACCAATTTCGAAAAGGAGCCCATTTAGGATTACCATAGTAATCCTTGCAGACAAGCTGTCTAGCAGGAGATCCATGAGTGAAGTCAATTTTTCCTTCACTAGTCACCCATCTTCTTGAGGGATCAAAATCCATAAAAACCCTAGATATTAATGTCAGACATAGTCTCTCCAAACCTATGAGGCTGTTGGGGGATGCTAGGATCAACAGGATTATTATGAACAATACCGTTTCTATGAACTCTTAGTTCATCTACAGGTTGTTGAGAAGAGGATTCAATATGCTCTTCA